TTAAACATTAATAACGCGGGGGTTGACTACCGGTAATTCATTGCTCTCATTCCGTTTTTTATTCTGTTACTCTAAGATGGTTTTTCGGCATTTCGGCTTTTCGGCGTTTTAGAATTCGGCGTTTTAGAAACTCTCGTAAAACAGTAATGTTATGGATACTACACCGGACCACACCGGACCACACCGGACCACAACGGACCACAACGGACCACACCGGACCACAACGGACCATTTTAGTTGAGCTTAAGTCATAGAGTTGAGCATAAGTCATATACATTTTTTTCGTGTTTGATTTCTCAACAGATAGTTTGAAAACTAATAAAAATTGATAAATAATATTACCTTTGACCAATTTTTATTAGTTTTTCTATATATAACATATTATGTTATTATAATTATGTTAAGGCAAAATACAGTAAGGAAGCCAAGTAAGAACTTATGCAGATATCAAAAAGAAGACTACACTAGAGCAGTTAGAAAATCAGTTTTGTTAAAATACTAGAGATTGTAAATATTGTAAAATGGCAAAATAAAAAAAGCTAAAAATAAAAATGCTTAAATTGTTCTTAAACAATAAAAAGATTTTGCAAAAACTCTTTAAATATATAATATAAATTGATGCGTTACAACTAAATTTGTATTTTACTATCTTTAAGATTCGGTCTATTTAAAGTTCCTGTTATTGAAGTTGTGCGTTCGTTTAGAGGCCGTTTTTTTTGATGAGGTTTTTGCCTTGTCCAGGCGCTACGGGAATCGTCATTTGTCCATCTGTTGACGTTGACAACTTCACTGACGATTTTAAACGAAAGCATTTTAAACTGGCTAGAATCCGTTGTGCATCATTTCTTTCTTTCCAAGTGTCAATAGTTATTCTGTGATTAGCGTAAGCTGGTTTTAGTTCAATGTCGCCAAGACCACACAAAGAACGATCTGCCTCAATTTGTTGGCTTTCGACTAATAAGTTGAGCTTTTTAACTAAATCTGGGAGCTGCTGAATTCTCCATTGTGTATAACTTTTAAGCACATGGTTAATACTTTCGCTATTATTGTTTGTCCAATTAGGAAGACCAATAACAACGTTGCTACGAAGGTGCGCAAAAAAATGTCCATTAATCCATAACGCTTGGGGTGCGTTGATTGTCACAATCAAATTTTCTTACAAAACTATTAGATTGTACTATATTGAATACGGCTTGATATTCGTTAGCAAAAGTGTGTATTGACTGACGCCCTGATTTGTTTTCTTTTTTACTATTAGACGTCTTTTGACGACGAATTACATTTGAGTTCCGCGGAACATCCTCTATACTGAGTGAAGATTTAAGATTATTGTATACTTCATGGACAGGTTTAGTTTTTAGCATATTACTTATAAGAAACTGATGTAGATGCTGGTGTTCGGACGTATGGACCAGCGTTTGGATTTTTGTATTCCCATGCTTTTGTCCGGTAACGTATTCACCAATATATTCTACTACAGCTAAAGTACAATCTGTTTGATTGCTCTTGTTCAAATATGTCACTCGTCTTTTATAGTCATCACTAGCAGCTAATGTGCAATAAGTCCGTACTATAGTAATAACGTTCTCCGGTTCAGGTTGCGGGTTGAAATGAATGTAATGTCGTTTTCCTTTAGATAATAATTCTTTGCAATACTTTCCAGCTTGCAAAAACAATCGTCTGCCAACAAAGCCATCGGAAATAGCGTATGAGCACTTGTTTGTTCTATATTGTTTAGAGTTCCAGATACCGCAATCGTCATCAACTACGTTGTATGAAATATCACTAAAACCTACCATCGCAAAATTTCTACGAATTAGACAATACACATTTTCTTTTTTTCCATGTGGTATGCAATCAACTACGGTAACTTTGTCCCATTGGTCATGTAGTAGTTCTAAAATTGTACGAGTATCGAGAAAACTTTTTTTTGACAAAGGATAAAGAACAGTCGTTGCTTTGACAGATTGCGATGTTAGTTGAATGTCTGGTGTTATTGAAGTTTTTGAAGATTGGTTGATGTTTTCTTCTTCTGCCTCAGAATCAGATTCAGTGTGTAATTCAGACCCAGTATCAGAAACTATTTGAAGTGATGTATTTTCAATTTGGCAAGACATTCTGTAAACATATAAGTTACAACTTTAAATTTTATTAACCATATAATAAAAAAAAGAGTTTATCAAAAAATTACATTCTCAAAAAATTTATTAAATGAATTTGTAAAAAAATTAAAAGGTGTTAATATTTTGAAATTTTAATACAGTTCAACTAAAAAAAGTACAAACCGCTCTTCAACAGTATTTGATAGCGTAGTTGGAGCTAGATAAACAAAGTGGTTTGGTTTAAAGTCCTCGGGGAGCCCCGGTTCTGAACACTGAGTCCACATCAAAGTAAAACCATCTTTTCCAGTATTTAAAACATTACAGCCAACAACTAAGCGAGTGTACGGATTTCGAATCTCTATTGCGCATGTTGGAGGCATATAAGACTGTATGATGATACCGGTTGCAGCACTTAGTGCATAGATATGAACCATAGAAGACGTGGTTCCTAAATTCACCGCGTCGTTTACAATGGTTTCGTAGTTTGTCAACGGAATTTCAAGTAGCTCTGACATAATAGAAGATAATTTTTTATCGTTTTTACGATAAAAAATCCTCTATTTTCGAGTAACTCCATTACAGAGATTAAACCCAAATAAACATGGTACTCTTGTGTTCCAAATAAAGCTAATGATGCAGCTCGATATAAACAGTTACCATCTGCAGCCACAGCACGAGGAGACATACTGCTAAGCATAAGGCCATGAAATCGCCTAATAATATTTACCGATATAGCATCTTCAACACCCAGCATAGTTTGTGATTTGTTTAATGAAATTGGTTCAGCAGAGTAGAATTGTAGGAAACCACGTTCTGAAATGCTGTAATCGAAAGTTGGAGATTCTTGAACTCTGTAAATTAAATCGTGTATATTGTATTTATTGAAAAAAAAGAAGTTAAAGATTCAGACAGCTAAGATTTTATTTTAAAATGGAATATGTTACTTTTACTCTCCCTTAAATTACTAGCTTATTAAACATTTAGCACGGCGTGTTTTGGTGTTTACTGACCTCAACCATGATCTAGGTTGTTGTTAGCTATGTTATAAACTTATTAAAATTCTTAAAGTTTCTAAAACGTGTAAGGTTACTTTCACGTAAGTTAAACTTAAAGCCCAGGCTTGTTATGCATATGCAACAAAATATAACTGTACTAATTTGTCAGACATATCTTACCTATTTAAGCTGGCAATAAAGTTGAACTGTATTTTGTTAGTTTGTTTGTCAGTTGTCCATACACACTTTGGACAAACAAAGTAGAAATTACTTTTCCTAAATTTTCTAAATTCAACATCTGACAATGGGACGCATTTTTGATGAATCCATAATCCACATCCTTTCTCACATTGTATGTTGTTTGTACGACAGGTTTTTTCGCAAACGGCACACGGAAATTTAATGCATTTTGCTGGCATTTGAACTGTTGAATAAAAGAGTATGAAAATACCAGTTTATATCAAACTAATTTATAGTAATCATCTGAAATAAAAAAAGTTTAAAAATCTTGATTCATATTTGGTTTCATAGCGCACTACATTGTGCTCTCGAACAGTAAAAATTATCAATCGCTTTGTCAAAAAGTCAAGACTTGATTAACGTTTACCATAATGAACAATAAAAGATAAAAATATGAAAGTTTTAATCTTACAATCTTGATATAACAGTACTTTTTTGAATAAAGCAATGCCAATATACTCGTATTTAAGATAAAGTTAGAAAAACTGTGCTGCGCCGGCTTAAACTATCATTAAATAATATTTGATTTGTAAGTACACATATGCACTTATGTAAAGTTTTCTCAAGCAATTTTTTAATTGGTGTAATTTTATAGCATGTCTGTCTAAAAACGCCAAACTATCAACACAATTATAATAGTTTGGCATAAAGTGATAAAAACCTCGTTGTTAAAAACGTAAGTAGATAACTTATTAAGCGTCCCAATACGTTATTGGTAACATTACAAGCAAGATCAATTGGCTTTAAATTTATTTTTTGATTCAAAATATTATCTATTTTATAAAATAATAAGCTACTTAAAGAAATAATAGTTGCTTACTCCCACAGTTATGGTTATAGGTTTTGTGGTTTACACTCCAAGTTTTTTTATTTTTTGTTTAAAAAAAAATCAAAATTACTTTTTTGAGAAAAATCATTAGTATTTTAAACTATATTATTACATAAAAATGGTTTTTTACAGCCATTTGCACACGTGACTATTTATTGCACATATGACTTTCGCGAAATATACAAAAATGATTTTTAAGACTTCTGCATAGTTCATTGTGGTCCGTTGCAGTCCGTTTGTGGTCCGGTGTGGTCCGGCGTGGTCCGGTGTGGTCCGTTGTAGTATTCGTATACACCCTTATGTTATATATGCTAATATTATTTTCTAGACTTACTTAATATAAATAATGTAAATACTAATGTAAGTTCAACAGAATGTTAAAGATGTTTATATAATTTTCTAGACTTACCATCGTAATTCTTGTGAAATATATTTTTAACATTTAGCAACACTTCCGTTAACAAACGATAATGCATAAAAAATTACAGCACGGTCTACTGCTTAATAATTGCGTAAATAGAACATATATAAAAACATATATGCTTTAATTCACCGTTCCTAGCTCGACGTCACAAAATAATTAACAGTTGTTTTGATTTCAATTCTGCCGTATGGAGGACAACTAAGTTAGCGGAACTAATAAGTTAATTATTATATTCATAGTTTTTTCAAAAAGTATATTATTTTACAAAATTTAATGTATTTATAACCAAAATAAGGAAATATAAATCCTAATCTGATTTATTTATCATTTTTATTATCATTTTTTTTAATTTTAACTTTGAGTTTAATATATAAATATGCAAATATTGTAATAGAAAAAAAAATTATAATATGGTAAAATTTTGTGCTGTGTTTGGATGTTCAAATCGTGAAAAGGGTAAATCTTTTTTTCGTTTAACAAAATTAGTTTGCAATCAAGGCGATGATGGTAAGATTTTATCAAAGGAACGTAGAGAAAAATGGATAAATGCCATAAACAGAGTTGGTAACTATCCTGATGTCCTCTACACTCGAATTTGCAATGATCATTTTATTACAGGTAAAAAAAGCCTTTTCACCTTTGAAACATTTTTATTACTTTAAAAGTTTAATATCATTAACTGTTTAACATTTTCATATATTTATTTAGGAAAACCTGCTTCTCTTTTCTCACAGAATGATCCTGATTGGGTTCCATCCTTAAATCTGGGACACAAAAAGTTTAAATTTGACGTTGAGAAACCTAGAGAAAGATACTTACGACACAAAAATCGTTCATTGTTAACAAGTCAAAATGATTCTATGTCTTGTAGAAATAGCACCACTAATTTAAACCCTTCTGATGATTCAATTGTAGATTTTCAAAAAGAGAATTTTAAAAGTAGTGAATCAAATGTCTCAGAAAGTGTTACAATAGATTACGAAAACTTGGTAGATGTGAGTGTTCAAACAGATATGACTGTCAAAAATATCAATCAAATAGAAACTGAGTTTATATACAAAAACAAACTTAATTACGATTTGCGTGTAAATTTAGTCAAACTCCACGTGGGAACTATTGAATGGTTTAATACAGATTCAAAAGTAACATTTTACACTGGGTTGCCAAATTTGAAAATTTTATGTTGTTTATTTAACTTTTTAAAGCCTCTTATAACTGAAAATGAGAACTCTGTTTTATCGTACTTTGAAGAATTTTCGTTGACGCTTATGAGATTGCGTTTAAATCTATCTATTAGAGACCTTGCTTACAGATTTGAAATTTCAAAATCGACTTCATCAAAAGTATTTTTAAGATGGATTGACATTATGTACTTTAGAATGAAACATTTAATTAAATGGCCTGCTCGCAATGAGCTTATAGAAACTATGCCTTTATGCTTCAGAAAATATTTTGAAACAAAAGTGGCTGTGATAATTGATTGCTTTGAAATATTCATAAATAAACCATCTAATTTATGCGCAAGAGCAGCAACTTGGTCACAGTACAAACATCACAATACTGTTAAATTCTTATTAGGTGTAAGCCCACAAGGTGTGATAACATTTGTTTCTAAAGCTTGAGGAGGACGTGTTAGCGATAAATACCTAACAGAACATTGTTCAATTTTAAAAAACATTCTTCCTGGAGATGTTATTTTAGCTGATAGAGGTTTTAACAATGCTGAGAGTGTTGGCTTTTATTGTGGGGAGCTAAAGATTCCAGGATTTACGAAAGGAAAGTTAAAATTAACTTGTTCAGATGTAGAAACAACCCGGAAAATTGCCTCTGTTCGAGTACACGTTGAGAGAGTTATTGGATTGTTACGTAACAAATATAAAGTTCTGCAAAGTATTATGCCATTAGATTACTTATATACTAAAGATTCTGGATTATGCACAATAGACAAAATTGTTATTGTTTGTTCTTCTTTGATAAATATATGTGATTCAATTATTCCTGTGGAATAGTTTTTGAAAAATTTAACAGGATTGAATAATTAAGTGAAACTAGAATTTATAAACAAAAATAAATATTATCAAATTAAGTATCAAATGTTTTTATTAAAAGTCTACAATTTTATTTCAATTTTATACAATAATCGTGATCATTAAAAACTTTGTTTTCTTTTTTAAAATAGCTCTGTTCTATTAGTATAAATTTATTTTTATCTGATGTTTCTTTCATAAACTGATTTTTTTGGCTGTAAAATTTGTCAATTAGTTCAGGTAAAATACATTCTTCAAAAAATTGTTTTTTTATATTCTATATTTTTTTATTATATTTTTTTTATATTATTATTTTAATTAATTTTATATTATATTTTTATATTTTTATTTTATTATATTCCTGTCCATAAATTCCAAATCCAGCAATATTCTTTTGCAATACGAATCTTTTGATAACTAAATAAAAAAATCACAGTAGTTACTTGATGAAGCATTTAACTGACACTGAACTTGATAATAATATTTATGTGATTTTTTGAGAGATATATAACCAGCTTTATATTCCAGACAACAATTTTTAAAATCCAATAATTCACTAATGTATTTATCTCTCGCAATATATGGACATATTTATCTCCAGACAACCATTTCCACAACAATCACAATTAATAACTGCATCTGGTGATGCACCAAGGAAGGGATGTTGAACTGAAATTAAAAACCCACAATTTTTTTATTGAAAATTTAGAGTGTTTCTTTTCCATTGTTGTGGAATACAAAGTCAATGCTTTTTTTTTATGGTCATTTCCCCATTTTGTTACTGCTGTGCAAAAACGTGCTTGAATGGGGTAACATATTTGCATAATCAAACTGATTGGTGGTTGGGTGATCTGTGTGATCTTGTTTATCTATTAAATTGCATATTTGTCTGGAATCATAAACACGTAAACCTCCCTTCGCCATTCTCCAATTTTTTCACCACTAAAAAAAGTTATCGTTACTATCTTTGATCTTTTAGCAACTTTAAATTACCCATCCCAAATCGTTGTTCAGTAAAATACGGTGATAATTCTATCACAAACCAGTGCATAAAATCATGGAATAAATTACCTCTTCATCTTCAATCCCTCAACTTAATTTCACAATTTAAAAACTGCCTTTTTGACTATTTATTAGAAAAGTACTTCAACTAAAATGTTAGGCTCACCACAGATTATTATTGCTACTGCTATATTATAATTATATATTTATATTAATATTAATATATATTTATATATATTTTTCTTAGTATTATTATATCTGATATTAGTATATTTACATTTCCATTACTATCATTATTAATTATTATTATTATTATTTTTTTTTAAATATTTTTCCGTGATATTTGTCAATATTATTATTACTGTTATTATTGTTATTATAATTGTCCTCGTTATATTTACTTTAATTTTATAATATAATTGTTATTATTATTTAATTGGTGTTTACCGTCGATTAGTACTTGTACTATTTGTAAATTACCATGAAATGTAAAAACATTTATTTCAGAATATATATATTGTTATTGTTGTTGTTATTGTTGTTATTGTTGTTGTTGTTATTGTCAAGAGCTTTGTATGCTTTTAACTGATCCTTAGTAAGAGGACTTGGAGCAAATAAAAAATAGTTAACAATATCCGGATATGTAACACTTGGATAACTATCTATATTATCAGAGAAATCAGTATCTTTAAGAAGATATGGGTCAACGTGGTTTATAAAGCTTATTTTTTCTAAATATCTTTGCTTTGCATTAGAATCAAGCTTAGACAAATATTCGCTTTCTGTTGATATTGCCGAACTATTTGTTTACGTTTGTTTGTCCGCGGTAATGCATATTTACGTATAATTAGAATAAATTAATGACGAGTAGGAACGGTGGATAAAGCATTTATAAATATATACGGCTAACGAGAAATATTTTTTTGGACCCAATGCAAGTCAAATTTTTTGTCCAATCAAAATAGGGATTTGATCTCAGGAAATAGCCGCTTTAATGGGCGTGTGGTATAGTTTTAGGTCAAACAACTAATGTGATTCAAAATACAATATTATTGACTTTTCCTTCTAGATTTTATCTTTTCCATTTAATGTCAAAGGAAAGTTGAGTTAACAAGTATGCTTATTTTTTAATTTCAAAAATTATGAATTTTGCATGGTGGTAAATTTTAAACAAATAATTAAAATTATTTATAAAAATTGAGTTTTTTTTTATCACGGTTTCTCTCTCTCTTGCTTTCTCTCTCTCACTCTCTCATATATATATATATATATATATATATATATATATATATATATATATATATATATATATATATATATATATATATATATATATATATATATAAATATATATATATATATATATATATAAAATATATATATATATATATAAAATATATATATATATATATATATATATATATATATTATATATATATATATATATATATATATATATATATATATATATATATATATATATATATATATATATATATATATATGTATATATATATATATAATATATATATATATATATATATATATATATATATATATATATATATATATATATATATATATATATATATATATATATATATATATATATATATATATATATATATATATATAGGTATGTGACATGAAATTTTTAAATTGATTATATATTAGATTGTTATATATCATTGGAAAGAGGATCAATACAGTATTTTAAAGGTATAGTATATTTCGATATATGGATTTGTTGAAGAAACTGTGGTCAAAATTATGTTTTTCTTCACTTAAATTGTCATAACTTTGTCAATTCTTATCGAAAAATAAATATCTTGGTGTCAAAAAATAGGTGTTAGAGTGGGCTACAAATTTATGTTAAATTCTAACCAACGGGCGTATCGGATAAACAGAGGGGGCACCAAACCACCACATTATTAGTATGAAACCGAACACTTTTTTCAGAAAAAAAGTTTTTTTTTAAGACATTAGCAATATAAATATACAAAAAAGTTGTTATAAATTTATAATAAACCACTAAAATATATGAGAGATGTATGTTAGCAATAGAGATGAGTGTGGTGGTGATGGTTTGATACACCCTAGAATCAAAAATGACTTAATTTTATAAATATTTAAATCTTTACTAAAATGAATAAAATTTGCATTCAATATAAAATTGTGTTATACAAGATTTTATGTAAACAAGTGGTGTTAACATTGAATTACGGGAGGGGCGTATGCCCCCCACCCCCGACCTAAAAAAAAACAACATAAAAATGCAATTGTTATTTTAAAAATGCAATTGCTGTTTTAAAAATTTGAATAATAAGTTTAAAAAAATTTATAAAATGGAAAAAAATAAATTTTTTACCAGACAACCACCAAATATGCAAGCTCCACCATTTTAACTATCCCAAAACACATATTTCTTTAAACTAAAATCAAAATTTTATTTTCATATTCATATTTTTATCTTTATATCCATTTTTTTTATCAAAACTGTTATAGCAATTACAACAAATTAAATTTATATTCTACTTGATTAACATATACCAGTAATGCATAGGTTGACATATAAGGGAAAGGGTGTTTAGTTCTCCCCCCTCTGCCTTTGACTAAAACCAAAAAAATTTTTTTTTTATTCTTATTGCTTTTACTGTGTGCCAAAGATTCACGAACAAAATTTAAATGCAATTATGATACCTTATGTTGCTTGGTATAACCATAGTGGGAGTTGCTCCGCCATCTTAACTATCCAAAAATACATATTTCTTTACACTAAAATCAAATATTGGTATATAATTGAAAACCAATTTTAAAAAGTTAAAACTTATAAAATTACCAACACAAGGAGATAAACAAGGCATTGAAAATTACGAAAACAAGTGTTAAGTATATATTAAAAACATATTAATATTGGTATATAATCTATAATCTTTAAAAAATAATAAAATTACCAGCATTCACAGATGTAGATGGCACTAAAAATTACCACAAAACAATGTTACAAACAAATAAAAGCATCGTAATATTGGTATATAATTTAAAAAGTTAAAACTTATAAAATTACCAGCACAAGGAGATAATCAAGGCATTGAAAATTATGAAAACAAGTGTTAAAAATATATTTAAAACATATTAATATTGGTATATAATCTATAATCTTTAAAAAAATAATAACATAAAATTACCAGAATTCACAGATGTAGGTGGCACTAAAAATTACCACAAACAATAATACAAACAAATAAAAACAACATAATATTAGTATATAATTTAAAAACTTATAAAATTACCATCAAAAGTAGATAAACATTGCACCAAAAATTATAAAAAAAGTGTTAAAATATAAGAAAAATATCAATATTGGTATGTAATTCACCATTATTTTAGGAAAATAAAATTTATAAAATTACCAGCAGTCACAGATGAATGTGGCACTAAAACACCAAAAATAAATGTTACAAACAGATAAAAATATTTTGATACTGGTATGTAATTTATAACCATTTTAAAACATCTGAATATAGTTATACAATCTACAAACATTTTACAAAGTTTTAATTTACAAACTTACCTCTGGCATGTGTAGATGGCACTAAAGATTGCAAAGAAAAGATATTATAATTTGAATACAGATTATTTTTATTTATATATTTACCAAATACACTTCAATGTTACATATAATCACTTCAAAAAGTTATAACATGCAAGCCTTAATTTTTACTATGAATCTAAAAAAATATGCAAACAGCTAACAACCAGCAATACAAATACAACTAGTAACAGTAACTAGTACCACCAACAAAAACTAAACTAATATAAGTCAAATAAGAAAACTAAAAAGTAAATGCCAACATTTCTTAGAGTTTTTTCAATCTGGGCTAAAATAGAAAAAGAATCAAAAACTCATTTAAACTAATTACTAATAAACTAATAAAAGAAATGAACTTAATGTGTTAATAGTAAGTAACAGTAGTAAT